AGAGAATTTTAATATTTACTTTTAGTTTTCTGCGGACACAACATCTTTGTTGGTATGTGGTGCTGAGGATCGAACCCGGGCCGCACGCATGCCAGGCGAGCGCGCTACCGCTTGAGCCACATCCCCAGCCCAATATATGTATTTTTAAAGCAAGATTTTTGTTGGGCATGGTGGCACATGGCTGTAATCCCAGCAACTTGGGAGACTGAGGCAGGAGGATCAGAAGTTCCAGGCCAGCCTCAGCAGTTTAGCAAGATCCTGTCTCCAAATTTAAAATCAGGCTGGGAATATAGCTCGGTGACAGAGTGCCCCTGGGTTCAAGCCTCACTACCAAAAAAAAAAAAAAAAAAAAAAAAGACCTTTAGGTTTGCTTTTATATGGTTGATATGAATATTTAAATTTAATTGAATTCAAATTAAATGTTTTTAATTTCTCAGTCACATTAGCCACATTTTGAAGATTTTGTAGCCACATGTGGCTTGGACAGTATATTCTGTTGGACAATCAAAAGCAATGAGCCTGGCATATAATAAATGCTCAAGGGCTGGGGTTGTGGCTCAGCGGTAGAGCACTGGTCTAGCACGTGCGAGGCCCTCAGCACCACATAAAAATAAATAAATAAAATAAAGGTATTGTGTCCAACTACAACTAAAAAATAAGCATTTAAAAAAGTAAAAAAAAAAATACTCAATAAACAGTATCAAAAAAGATTATATACCTTCTATCATTTGGATATCACTAACCTCATTTCTACCTATATCTAATACCACCTGTACTGTTAGTGAATATTTTTCTTTAAGTTGACTCATTTTATACTTAAATACGTTTAATATCATTATCATAAATGGAAAACGAGTATCATTTTTTCATAATTAAAAGATATCACAAACATAAGTACCATGAAATGATGTTGCTAAATTTAAAAATGTTTAGATTTAAATTTTTAAAGCAATGAATAAAATGGAGCTAATTGATTTATCAGTTTATATCTGAGAATAAATTTCCCAGTGAGAAAAATGGTATTTTTTATGGTCAAGTTATCAGTCAAGTTAAGAGTTTATATCTAGGGGCTGGGGATGTGGCTCAAGCGGTAGCGCGCTCGCCTGGCATGCGTGCGGCCCGGGTTCGATCCTCAGCACCACATACCAACAAAGATGTTGTGTCCGCCGAGAACTAAAAAATAAATATTAAAAATTCTTTCTCTCTATCTCTCTCCTCTCTCACTCTCTTAAAAAAAAAAAAGAGTTTATATCTATAAGTCATGGTTAGATTTTGATGTTATCTAAAAACCAAAATTCCTACTTGCAATTATGTGTGGTTAAAATAATATATTATTAATCAGATTATAATTTAAATATATAATAGAGGTTATAACTTTTAGTCCTTTGAGCAAAGAAGAATGCATGTGAGGCAGGAAATTTGGTCACTTTTCTCCCTCTCTCTCTCACCCCAGGAGAACTGAGAGATAAAAATGACTTCCAAATCCCCTTCTACATCATGGGGGACTTTAGCTAAATCTGGGTAGACCAAGAGTAAAATGGAGCCCCTTAGCACATAATTCTAGCATCTGCTTTGCCCAACCTTGGCTGCCTCTCCATGAGCAGGGATTCTATAGTAAGACCAGGGGGAGAAAAATACCCCCTGCTCCCTGGTGGCCTGGGGCACCCAAGGGACCTGAATGAATATGCCTGCTTGTACCACTAAAAATCATCTCCAAAAATGGTGGTGGTCACATGTGTCTTTTCCACAGAGAACAATTTATTAGGTTTTAATCAGGGTTATATTTTAATTAGGGTCAAGAATTAGGTTTGGGTTTGAATGTGATCAAAGGGTATTGTTAAAGTTAGAGCTGATGAATTTACTGCTAGTTACTTTAATGTAATTACACTTTGTAGTGCTTGGAAAGTATGACGGTCAAAAATTCCCACTAGTTCCTACCTGCCTGAGTTTGAATTCCAGTTCTGCCTCTTCTTGTGTAAGTGGCCAGAGGCAAATTACAGAATCCCTATAAAAAGATAATTTTCAATAAGCAAAATATGACTCTCATAGATATATGAAGTATAAATGTTTATTATAAGGGAATTAGGTAGCTGTTACAATTCACTCAAAGGAGAATACAAAGAACAGATGCATTTATAGATCAGGAATTCTGAAATGAATTTGTAAATGCAAGAAAAGCTGAATCTTCCACAGGAGGGGCCCAGGGTTGTCCCTCCACTGAACAGAGGTGGAATCATCTGCACTGCCATGGGTTCTTTTTTCTTGGCATTGCTGGGGATTGAACCCAGGGCCTTGTGCATGTGAGGCAAGCACTTTACCAACTGAGCTATATGCCCAGCCCCCTGCCATGAGTCCTCTATAACCCACAGAGAGGCAGTAAAAGAACAGAATCAGCTAATCCAAAATGGCAAGGGCTAAATCATGTATAGTTTCCATTGGAAATATCCACTAACCCTTGCTTCGTGCTTCGTCGTGTTTTTTTTTTTTTTTTTGTCTTTTTCTTTCTTTTTGTCTTTTACTTTTGTTTCCACTAATCTTTTTTGCTTATTCTAAATTTACTTAAATCCCTCTGTACCATAATCTCTTCATCTGTAAAACTGAGATGCCTACCTCACTAATAGGTAGAGAAGTGAAGGAGCTGGGCTGTGCATTTTTATGT